TTCCAACACAAACCAGTCTGGGATTCAATGATATAATGAAACCAAGAACTGGAGGGTTTGGGCAAATCTGCACACTTTTGAGTGCTCATCCAAGCGGCAACCTGGCTCTTTTCACTCCAGAGCAAGGACAGGGATGCAACACGTCATCACATCCTCAGCTATACATAACCCCACCAAGCTTTCAGTGAAACCCATTCCGTGACCACCAGAGCCTCGAGACACTTGGCATGACTCAGGTTGCTCCCATGGTTCTATTAACGCAACCCATGTGCTTGGCTGCAGGACTTCTCCTGGGAAGAATGGGCGAGCGAGGAGCGCCGCTGGTGAACGTGTGTCAGTGCCTCAACGAGGCCGTCATGAAAATCGTCTCGATGGCAGTTTGGTAAATCTGATTTCCATCCCTTCAGTTGTTCTCTTATCTCCTGCCTCATGGTGATGCTGATCATAGATCTCCAAGTGTCTTGTGAGCACCGGATTGATCTCCATGTGACTGTACCCCATGGTACCAGACACCGCAGGGACTGTCGTGGGGTGCTTCAGTCCCTGCTGCAGCCTCATAAATCATTGTTTATGCTTATTCTGTGCAGGTACTTCCCCTTCGGCATCGTGTTCCTCATTGCTGGAAAGATCCTGGAGATGGAAGACCCATCAGTTATAGGACAGAAGCTGGGGCTTTATGCCATTACGGTAGTGTCAGGACTAGCCATCCATGGAGTCATTCTCTTACCTCTGCTTTTTGCGCTCATCACCAAGAAAAACCCCTTTGCTTTCATCCAGGGGATACTGCAGGCCCTGCTCATCGCCTTAGCTACATCCTCCAGGTATGAAAACGTGGCTGACATATGCTGATATACCTGAGAAGGCATCAAGTTTGGTGGAGGGAGAGTACGTGTGCACGGCCAGGGGGGCTGTGGGAGAAAAGGTATAATCCAAAGAAAGCACAATTATGCTCCAGCACTTTTTGACATGAGAATGTTCCCAGTCTCAGTGGGAAGTGGGATGCTTGGCACTGGTCCCCAGCAGGATGAGCCTCAGGGCATCTTCAGACCCAGCCACTCCTCTCCTGGGCTTTTCCCAAAGCAAACCAGCAGGTTTGTGTCTGTGTGAGTTTATTGGAATTGTTGCAGTCACTTTTCTTTCAAAGGATTCAAAATAGGGCTGTTGTCAGTGCTTTATAAACCAATGTGGGGTTATGGGCCTGGGTTTGAACTGAAAACATCAAGAGTGTGTATCCCAAAGCTCCTCCAAGGAAAAGTTTTGTCTGATAAGATTGTAAAATTTTAGATTATCTGTTTTATTTTCATTCTTCAAAACATTCTTTAAAACAAGACACTTCACATGAGACACTTCTGCCCTTTCTGGGAGACACACAACTGCAAACATTGTCTTAGGAAACATTTCACGAGGCAAAGGGGTTTTCTGGCCTCTCAAATGTTGCTTCTTCCCATAATCCCAAGAACACCCCCTGGGGTTGTGCCCCTGCCAGCACCCACGAGGGTAATGTGGGGACCAGGAATGTACAACAAAGCTGCGACCACCCCACTCTGCTCTTCTGAGAGCGATGCCTTCATCACTGTGATGACACTGCTCTGGAGCCAGGCTGAGAGAGCTGGGCTGGGGCAGCTGGAGAAGAGAAGGCTCCTTAAGGGGAGACCTTAGAGCAGCTCCAGTGCCTAAAGGGCTCCAGGAAACAAAAAGCAAACGATAGACAGAATTACAGATCACGTCTTGTTTTGCAGCTCAGCAACCTTGCCCATCACCCTGAAGTGTCTCCTCGAGAACAATGGAATAGACAGACGTGTGGCACGATTCGTCCTCCCCGTTGGTGCCACCATCAACATGGATGGCACCGCACTGTACGAAGCGGTCGCTGCGATCTTTATTGCCCAGGTCAATGAATATGACTTGGATTTGGGACAAATTATAACCATCAGGTAAATGTGCCTTTGCAGCAGCTGAATTATTTCTCTCTATTCGTCTTTTTAGGCTTTATAACAACCTCTCAGCAGAGACCTTGCTACTGCTCAGGGGAATGTTGCTGGGAAGCTGAGCAGTAGGGAAGGCTGCAGTGTGTAGCAGCAGAGCTGGGGCTCTGCACCCACAGAATTTGATGCAAAATCAGAATCAAACACTTTGCCTATAGGTAAAATCCAGGCTGCAAACGGGCAGCATGACTAGAGCTGGTCAGCTCCTGAAATGTGGATGAATTAGCACAGAAACCTGGAGAGGGGCTTTGGACAAGGGCCTGTAGGGACAGGACAAGGGGAATGGCTTGAA